TTTCTTTCTTTCTTTCTTTCTTTCTTTCTTTCTTTCTTTCTTTCTTTTTGGCTTCTCATCTCAAAAAGTGACAAATAAATTGATACATAAATAAATACTGATGTACGTTTCATATACACTTCTTGCCAGTCAGTACTCCTATCCTGTGAGGTCTGAATTTGGAAGAAAAATAAATACATTCTTACCTTTTTGGCTCTGTTAGCTATTGCCAATAGTAGTGTAACCTAACTGAATTGAGTTCTATCTGCTAAACACTGCGTGCCGTATATTCATATATATATTCATATATGCTTAAATTCTGAAACCAAAAAAACACTTGGCTTAAACCACAGGGCCACAGAATTACAACATACAGAATAAGTTCCCTTTTTACAAGCAATAAAAATTTAAATACAAAAGAAACCACTATGCAAAAATTGGGAGTCCCTAATAATTCTCAGAGAGGAAATAAGATTATTAGACTGACATTTATACTATGCAACAGGAATTTCCTTTCCTGCCTAATTTTCTTCCAGGCCATGCAAGTATTTGCTCTATGTATGACCTCACTGGAAATCCAGAATATGTTCTGAATTAGAGAAATGGAAATAACTGAATCTGGATGGATTTCGAAGTCCTGTTTTCGCATATATTAAAAGCAGGAGAAAACATAACTCAGATGCAGGCATCACACTGTAAAATGAAAATACATTTTAAAGTACAGGTAGTCCTTGATTTACAGCCACAATTGACTCCAAAATTTATGTTTTTAAATGAGAATGTTAAGTGAATTTTGCCCCATTTTATGACCTTTCTTGCCGCAGCTGTTAAGTGAATCACTGCAATTGATAAATTAGTAACCTGTTGGTTAAGTAAATCTGGTTTCCCCATTGACTTTGCTTGTCAGAAGGTGATCACATGACCCCAGGATTCTGCAGCAGTCATAAGTATGAACCAATTGCCAAGCATCTGAATTTTGATCACAGGATCATGGAGATGCTGCAAAAGTTGTAACTGTGAAAAACAATCATAAATCACTTTTTTCATTGTCACTGTAACTTTGAACAGTCACTAAATGGATTGTTGTAAGTCAAGGACTACCTTTATTAGTTAAAATAGACGGTATTTAGGATAATATGCTGGACGATGAGCACCTCAGGTCAGATAGAACTCATTATGTAACTGAAGAAGAGCTGAAGGTCTTGCAGAATATGAAGACTCTGGGATATCAAGTTGCAGAAAAAATTGCAAAAACAAAATTATAGTGGCAACATGGAATGTAAGAAACATAAACATGGGAAAGTTCAGTATTGTTAAAGATGAAATGAGTCTAGTACAGATTAGCACAGTTGGCAACCGCAAAATGAGATGGAGTGGAATTGGACACCTTCAGTCAGAAGATTCACTGTTTACTACTCAGGACATGAAAAAAAAAGAGGGAACAGTGTTACTTACATAGTGAAAAAGGTTATAGCAAGACCAGTGCTTGGCTACAATGACATCAATGGCTAAACAATATTTATTTATTTATTTATTTATTTATTGTTTGTTTGTTTGTTTGTTTGTTTAATATTGCCGCCTATTTGCCCATGGCAACTCGAGGCAGCTTACAGAATGTAAAACCATATTTAAAATAAAAAACAATAAAAACTAACAAAAATAAATAAATTAAATAAATTAATAAAGTACAATAGAACAAAATCTGGAAAAAATAAATAAAAGAATCACCTCCAAATCCCACCCCCTGCCCCGACAACAGTAGATCACATGAGCCATTTGATGGGCTCCATCCCGCTCTGGGTTCTCCAAGTTCGCTGGCAGAAGCAGGTCTTCAGTGCCTTCCGGAAGAGTATTAGAGAAGGGGCCATTCTAAACTCTGGGGGAATGATGTTCCAGAGAGAGGGAGCTACCACAGAGAAGGCCCTTCTTCTGGGTCCCACCAGGTGTATCTCCCTCAGGGATGGGACCCACAGCATTCCCTGCCGCCCCACTCTAATGGTTTGGGTTGATGTGACTGGCAAGAGACGTTCCTGTATATCAATTAGCCATCATGGACAATCCTTTAATATGATGATTATAGATGCTTATGTTCTAATTACTGATTCAGAAGAAGATGAAGTGAATGAGTTGCATGATCAGGTTCAAATCAAAATGTACAAGAACCTGTAAACAAGATTTGTTGTGCATGGTTGAAGACTTAAATGCTATCCTTCAAAATATTAAGAATGAAAATGTAGTTGGACCACATGGCCTAGAAAACTGAAATGAAGCAGTAAAACAATCCACAAGTTTCTGCTAATCCAGTGATCGTTGTTAACATACATCTGAAGATTTGTTGTGCATGGTTGAAGACTGAAATGCTATCCTTGGAAATATTAAGGATGAAAATGTAATTGAACCACGTGGCCTAGAAAACTGTACTGAAGCAGGAAAACAATCTACAAATTTCTGCTAATCCAATGATTGTTGTTAACAGTCTTCATACATCTGAACAAATTCCAAGATACATAGATATTAAGGAGTATACAAAAAGTCAATTTTATTGGTAAAGTAAAGCTCAGTTATAACGATAAAAAGGTGGCTCACTGTGGAACAGCTCATGAATTACAAGTTCAAAAGCTAAAATGGAAGAAGAAAGTCACCTAATTTCTATGATATGAACTTGAGCATATCCCAAGCCATGGTGGCGCAGTGGTTAGTATGCAATATTGCAGACTAATTTAGCTCACTACCAGAAGTTTGATCCTCACAGGCTCAAAGGTGACTCAGCCTTCCATCCTTCCAAGGTCAGTAAAATGAAGACCCAGATTGTTGGAGGCAATATGCTGACTCAGTAAACTGCTTAGAGACGGCTGTAAAGCACCATGAAGCGGTTTATAAGTCTGAGTGCTATTGCTATTTTCATGGAGAACATCAGGAATCTCTATGAAGTCTTGAATATCATTGATCAGAACCAGAAAATAAGCCTGCTGTTGTTAAAAAAATTAAGGATGAATGTGAAAAGAGATCGCCAGAGATCAGGAAACAGAAGAAAAATGGATATTAAAACAAATTGTAGAAATTGCCAAGAAGAGAAGCCATAGTCAAGAAAGACAAAGATAAAAGGAAGGAACTTAAGAAAGAATTTCAGAGGAGTGCTGGAAGGGTCAAGAAGCAGTATTAAAACATCTTTGAAGGCATCTAGGTTGGAAACAAAGAAAGTCTTCCAAAAGATCTGTCAACTCAGGTTAATATGTTTAAGGTTACCAATGGACAGATAGCCCAGACTTGTTTGATAGTGAGATGGATGGCTTATACATTTAATAAATAAATAAATAGTAACTGACTCCAAGAAATTTAAGCAAAAATGTGTTGTCAACCTCCAAGATTTGTTTGAAGACATTACCTACTTATAAGAATCTATAGTATTAGGTGATAGTTAGTTCAGTATTCTGGTCATTACCATTCAGGAAAATATAGGAATTGGAACATTTTCATAAATATGGTAAGCAGTGGTGGAATTCATTTTTTTTTACTACCAGTTCTGTGGGCGTGGCTTATTTGGTGGGTGTGACTTGGTGGTCATGTGACTGGGTGGGTGTGGTTTGGTGGTCATGTGACTGGGTGGGCATGGCTTGGTGGTCATGTGACTGGGTGGGCATGGCCAACTCAATGTCATTCATATCAACGGGTGCCTCACCTGGCCCCTCCCCTCCCAGCCATTGCTTGTCACCCAGCCTCAACTTATCTATAGTTCTGTAAAAAAGTTGTTCACCTTTTTTGACTTTATTATCTGCATACTATAGATGTACTTTCATGGACCACTGAAAGGAAGAAATGGCTCACATGCTTTACTCAAGAGTGTGATAGGCAACAGGGGCTTTTAAGGGGCTGCCACAAAGAAAGAGGGACAATGTATTTTCCAAAGCACCAGAATGCAAACAAGAAGCAGTGGGTGGAAACTGAACAGAGAGAAGCAACCTAAAACTAAGGAGAAACTTCCTGACAGTGAGAACAATTAACTAGTGGAACTGCCTGTCTCCAGAAGTTCTGGGTGCTCAATCACCGGAAGTTTTTAAGAAAAGACTGGACAGCCATTTCTCTGAAATGGTATAGGGTTCACTCCAAGGTCCCTTCTAAGTATTATTCTGACACCTTTCCCAGGATTTCTACTCAGAGTTTGGCATCCTCAGTTTTCTTGCCTGAGCTGGGGGTTGGACTAGAAGACCTCCAAGGTCCCTTGTCAACTCTTGTTAAACACATGTGTATTTTATGCTCTGGATTATTGACATTGAATGCATGTAAACCCTGAAAAATATGTGGTAGCCCTGGGCAAAAGAAAGGCAGAAAAATCACTCTAGGTGTAGAGACAGTGTAAAATATTAACACATGATAAATAATGGAACAATTAAAAATAATAGCACAGAGTTTTCTCTCTCTCTCTCTTCCTATTTTTTCTTTCTTTCTCTACCTTCCTCTCTCTCTCTCTCTCTCTCTCTTTCTTTCTTTCTTTCTTTCTTTCTTTTTCTTTCTCTTTCTTTCTTTCTTTCTTTCTTTTTCTTTCTTTCTTTCTTTCTTTCTTTCTTTCTTTCTTTCTTTCTTTCTTTTTTTCTTTCTTTCTTTCTTTCTTTCTTTCTCTCTCATACACACACACACACACACACACACACACAGAGCACTTAACAGACAAGCATTTTGGAAGCAGCTCCTTTAAATTTCTTCAAGGCTTGAGTGGATTCCCCCACCCCCTCTGTCAGACCGCACTCCTTCTCACTCCAGACACTTTAACTCATACGGGGAAAGCGATACTTGCAGCGTCCATGCCTGTCTTCCTTTCCCCCGCGGAGAAAGAGGACGTGGGGAATGGAAAGCTAGAAGAGCGATCGCAAGTGAGCAACCGGGCTACCGGGTTGGGGGCATGGCCAGCCAGGGGTCGCCACCAGTTCGGCGACCCACGCCAAATAACCGCTAGCGGTTCGCCCAAGTAGGTGCGAACTGGTTGAATACCGCCTCTGATAGCAAGAGAAGAAATATCAGTAAATGTAATTTTTATATCTTATGTCAGCAAATCTGGAGAAGGATACATTGACTAGGAAGAAGTTAATCTACATTCCAATATCAAACAAGGAGATTTAACTGACTGTGGAAAATATTGTACAATATATTTAATTTTCCATTCTAACAAATAATGCCAAGATCATCCCACAAAAATTAAAGCCCTACATGGAGATGACAGAAGTTCAGGTTTGCTTTACCAAAGTCTGAGGAACCTGAGACATTATTGCTAATAATACTGATAATTAAGAGAGCCAAATAATACCAAAAAGAGATTAATACCTGCTTGAATAGAAGCTGTGGAATATACTGAAATAAATGGGAATCCTCAGAATATCTCATTGTTGTCATGCAAAATCTATACATGGCTCAAAAAGCCACGTTACAGGTAGAACAAGATGAGACAGACTGGAGGATTGGGTAAAGGAATGAGCAAGGCTGTATATTCTCTTCTTATTTATTCAACCTATATGTGAAATATACTGTATATTGAAGGAAGCCAGGTTGGAAGAAGAATTTTAAAACAAGAGGAAGACACTTCACTGAGGTGCTGACTTAATCAGGGAGCAAGCATAATTTTTGTTCAAAGATGGGTTGCTTTATCAAGTTTATGAATTCAAGAAGACTTTCACTTGGTTTCAAAGGACTGTTTGTATCATATTAATGTTCATGTTCTAGGACTCAGTATGTCAAATCTAATTCAGTGACCTGAAAGATGTAAGCTGGGCTTCAAAAATCCAATTGACTGCCAGTTGGTAACAGGAAGATACAGAAAACTCTGCCTTTTTCTAGATCAGGAGCCAGATGTGTCACACGCAGGCCACGCTTACCTGAGGTCCACAAATTGGAAAAGCATCACGAAACGTCATGTGATGGCAATGTGATGCTGCAAGTTTGACACCATGCTCTAGATCATCTAGAACATTGATCCCCAACCTTTCCAGCTTGGTGGTGTGGCACAGGGGGGAGAGAAGGAATGGTTCCATGTAAGGGGCAGGCACACGCAGACACACAGCTCCATTTATGCAAGTGGTGGGTGCACACGCCTGCGGCTTATGTGAATGGAGTTTCATGTGTGAACCCAAGTGCCTGCTGCTTGTGTGAGTGGAACTTCTCATGTGTGTGCAAGTGTCAGTTGCTTGTGTGGCCCTGTTCCGAATGGGCCACAGCCTGATAGTGGGCCACAGCCCAGGGATTGCGGACCCCAATCTAGTTTTTTGCAACCCAGTTCATGTGGTCATAGAGTAACATGCAAGCAATTTATTGTCTAGTGTGAGTTCTAATTAAAGCAATTTGGCAGTAAATAAGGATTTTATGGTGAGCTGGGTTTAGATCTCTTGTGGGAACAAAAGAATTCATAACTGATGGTGCAATTGACCCCTTCCTCAGGCTCACCCTGGTCATCTCCTACATTTATACCCTCACAAATTCCTGAAGAGGGCTCTGGGGCAAACTACTTTGTTACCCTTGCAGTAATAATATAACGCAGGCTACTTTATTATGTATTATGTCTTTTAAAATGGAAAATTTAGAATTGCCATGTGTGCATAATTCCATCTAATGCTTCTAGTACAATGCTACAATACTGCTTAGTTGTCTATCTGGGGGACAGGAGATAGTTTCATTCATAGCAATTGGCTAGTTTTATTATTTTAATGTGCTGTGGGTCAGCTTATTGATCATGGTAGTTTATAGTGAAGTATAGATACAATAATTTTATCTAGGGTGTCAATTAAAAACTGAAAATTATTTCAAGGATAAAAAGGTTGAGAAAGAGAGTTTTAATCCTTTCCCAGGATCCTTTCCAAACAACCACATTTTGAGAGTGGGAGAATCAGCAGTCTATGAATGAATGAATGATCAGAATTCTATGTGAGAGTGGAATATACTAAATTCTTAGAAATTGTGTTGGGATCTAAACTATGGAATTTTCATATAATAGTATAGTTTTCATTAAAATATCCAGATTACAAAATGGTTTCCCATTATGATGTCATAAAGTTTTATGGGGAATTTAGAGAATATAGAAGATTCCATTTTATCCTGCTTCCCTGTAACACTAACAAAATGAGTCAGAGCCTATTGATTCTCAAAACTAGTTTTCCTGACATGCAGTCTCTGTTTTTTAAATCTTAGTTTCTAATACTGTTTTTTTCTGTTGCCTGTCAATAATAAATATTTATTTATGTGCAAAATCAGGTACCCCCTTTTTTATGACCACTGTCCCAAAACAAGACACCAAACAGATTTGGAAACTACTATGTAACAACAACCTTATAAAATCAAGCAATTAAAATATTGAACAAGAACAAGGGACAGAACAGCATAGATTTGACTGAACAAACGTGGAAGCAAAAAAAGGTTCTGCTATAAACGAAGAGGAAGATAATTTCTTTTTTATGATTATTTTAAGAATGTTCTTAAACCATAAATGGTAGTACAAGTCCCTTATACTTGACTTAATAGCCAACTAGCATTCAGTTCATTTCCAAACAGATTAATGTGTTCATTAGAATCTATTTTCTTTGGAAACCTAAATCCAAGCTTTCCCTTCCTACCTCAGCTCCATATAAATATATATTAATAGTCTGACTTTGTCACTTGCAGGAAGAAGAAGTGAAAAAGGAACATTTTGTCATGGAATTGCTTGCCTCAACCGAACCTGAATGCTCAAAGGACAGACTGGAGAACCTTTCCTTGCTATTATAAACAGGGGCTTCCACATAGAATCATTCTATCATGAGTAATACAGTTTATTAACCCAGTGTGTGCATTTTCAACGTTCAAAAATGAAACTATAATTGATAATCAGTACAAATTTAAATAATGAGGTTAATTATATATCCAAAAGTCAAACAATAAACATTTAACAATGTATTTGGAAGGTCACCTGCAAAATATTTGACGCTAGTACCATCTAAAGGTAAACAAATAAGAGGACATTAATCTATCTGAGGAATTCACATAGTATATTGTTCAATGAGAGGGAGATGAAGAAGTTGTTCAGTGAGTCACAGGAAAACTGGAGGAAAAGTATAATTATTTACCTTATAGAGTACTCAGTTCTAGAGGATAAAAACAGAATGAAAAGCACACTATTGCCAGAACAAAGGTCAGAATATTTCAGACTTTCTTATACAACAATGAAGGAAACATACACAAGATGTAGCTTTTGATAGTCATAGATATAACATATGCTAAGGGAGAGTCTTTGTACAGTCTTCATATAATCTAGGAAAAGAGAAAAATCTGGATAGAGAAGAAAAAGATAGAAGAAAATTAATCACCTTTTCTTTTCAATACTGAACTGCTTGCACAGACCTTGTCTTGAAGGCTGGTGTTAGATGGCTCCTCCAACAGTTGGACAGAAAAGAAGATAGGAAATCCTATCAGTAGTTGCTTCTTGATTCTATTTTTCCTAGGTCAGTTTGATGTGATCCCAAGCTTTCTGAGCACACAATTCTCTTGGTAACTCAAACCTGTTCAAAGAATGAGCATCAGTATACTATTACTTTCTCTGATTCTGGATAAAGCTGAAGCTGGTGAACCTTTCCAGGATGTGGAACCCAACTTATTAAGAACTAGAGGCAGAGAAGTCTATACTTTTAAACTTTATAAAGGTAATGTGCTATAGGCAGTTTGTTTAGTTCCTGTAAGGCTCCTTGGATTTGTAATTTAGTGAAAGACCCTGAGTTCCTGACCAATTTCTTCTACTCACCTGGGTTCACGTCCAGGCTGCTGAGGGAAATCTGGCTTCAGATGTTTCGAAGAGGTTTCCCTCTGAGATAAGTAATGCCTAGCAGGTGAAGATAAAAGTTCAAGGCTAGCTGTTTCTTGTTGGAGTCCTGAAAGATTTCACCTATTAATTGAGATAAGAGAAGCTCTTCTTTTATAGAAGATTCTGGCCCTGAGGCAAAGGTAAATGAGGTAATCCTTCCTGAAAAAGGGCAGGACAAAAAGGGTGTCCAGAAAGAGATGGAAAATTGAAAAGGTTGGGCTAAAGTGGGTTGGGCTTCCTGTCTTCCAGAATTTGCCAAAATTCTGATTGCCCATGTCCTCTAATGATTTGGATTGACAAAAGAGGATGCAATGAAGGTCAATGAGTCACTGAGAAATAATGAAATAATAAAGAAAGGAAAAATAATGTCTAATAAAAGAAATGGTCCAAGAATCCATGGCTTTAGCAACAAGCAGATCCAACTGCTACTATTTTATTAAAGTCCAGCAAACAACCCATGCAAATGAAAGAAAAAAGGGGCACACTCCCCACTTTTCAAGTCCTGATGAAGAGCATCCCTAGGATGAGTAATGCTGTTTTCATCCTTGTTTGGACTCGAATGAAAACACTAGCTGCCTGTATCATAGGCAATCTATAAGTGAAACCTCACCATTTTTCAATTGCTTGATAAGCCGTGGTGGCACAGTGGTTAGAATGCAGTATTGCAGGCTAATTCTGCCAACTACCAACAATTCCATCCTGATCAAATCAAAGTTGACTCAGCCTTCCATCCTCCCAAGGTCAGTAAAATGAGGACCCAGATTATTGTTGGAGGCAATATGTTGACTCTATAAAACAACTTACAGAGAGCTGTAAAGCATTGTGAAGTTGTATATAAGTCTAAGCGCTATTGCTATTGCTTACCTTAAAAAAAGGAAAGACTGTAGTTCAGATGGCAGTTGTCTAAAATGGATAATTCCAAAGAAAGAATCTTACAAAGGAGCTACATCAGTGTCTTCATCAGGATTCCTCCACTTCCTGGATCAAGTTTCTTACATTCTCTCCACCCCCGAAAGCAACTAAGAGGGCTTGGCTCAAATTCATAGGTAGATGAAATCATGCTAGATAGCACTCTTCCGTCAGAGTCTGCTGTATACCATCCCAGTCCTAAGGATGAAGGTTCCATTGGAAAATGCAGCTCCAGTGGACTTTGACTCAGATGTATGGTGTCAAGAAAAATATTGTGCAATGTATCACAGTGGCATATTGACAAAATGTGCAATGCATCATGGTAGCCTGATGTTCTTCCAGTTCTTCCGGTCCATCAGGTGGGAGGGATCAGCGCCACTATGTAATCAAACTAAGAAATCAACTCCAAAGGACTACTTTTATTAAGAATGGATATAACAGGATCTCATCTGATTATGTTATGCCTCCTACTACTACTTATAGTTCAGTGAATTAGGATAGCGTCTGTTAAAACCGGTTAGGGAGTCCATTGTGAACTTAAAATATGTTTCCTGCTCATTATTGTGGCATCTGGATCTTGCATATCCCCATAAAATCATCTTCATTTCTCTTTACAAGTTGCAGGCTATGTCAAACAAGCCCACTGAATGATAACACACGAACACAAGGATGGAAAGATACAAATACTTCTCTCCTTGTGTAGATCTGAAGATAAATTCAGATAAATTCAAATGTATAGGAAAATTATTATTATTTTCTTTCTTCACATCTTTTCTGCCATTTTATCTCAATAAAATGAAGATCCTGGGTCCAGAAGACAGAGGGGAAACTGTATTCAATACTCTGATTATTGAGCATCATTAGCAAACTGATGGCAGTCCCTCCCTTTGTATTAATGTTAAACAGCAATTCTTATAAATGGAATAAAATGGATGAAGGAAAGGGTTAGGATTAGCAGAACCAGACATTTTAATTGCCACATGACCTAGTATAATCATCCAATGGTTGCCATGCAAGTAAGAATTGAACTAGTGTATTCATCTGCTTCAGAATCCCCAAGACAGCCTGTGTCCAGAGTTGTGCTTCTATAGATTACAATCTATAGATTGCACCTGTAGAAAATAGGTGTTTTTTTTTGTGTGTGTAATTAGTCACCAAAGTTATAAATTAAGAGTTTATGAT